TTTCATGTCATGAAATATTATTATTCTGATTTTTTTCACTTAAAAAACTTAAAATCTGAGCTTTCAGGCAGCGTACAGAAACAGGTGGCTGGCAGGATTCGGCCATTAGGCTGAAGTTTGCCAACTCCTGAAGTAGACTAGGAGGAATTTGGGAACGCCTGCCAACGTGTAGTCTTGGTGTCTGTAGGGAAGGTGGCCCTTCTTCAGAAAATCAAGTGCTGGAAGAAGCACAGTGGAATTTGGTTCTCCTCATTCATTTTCACTCATTCACTTCAGTTTTTGGTATTTTCACTGCATAGCGCTAAACATGCACATTAATTTTTAGTTTTTCTTTTTAAAACATTTTATTGAGTATAATTGATATAGCATTAGTTTCAGGCATACAACAAAATGATTCAATATTTGTATATATTGTGAAATGCTCACCATGATGAGCCTAGTTAACATCTGTAACCACATAGTTACGAATTTTTTTTTCTTGTGATGAGAACTTTTAAGATCTACTCTCAGCAACTTTCAGATATACAATACAGTATTATTAACTACATTTACCATGCTATTAAAGGTTTTTCTTTCTAAACTGTTAGCTTCTAGAATTGGGGAAAAATTGGAGGTTGGGAAAGCGAGAGGAGGAGAATCTGTGCACTTCCTAGTAAGTTTTTTTTTTTTTTTAAGATGTCGGGGGTAGGAGTTTAGTAATTTATTTATTTATTTTTGCTGTGTTGGGTCTTCGTTTCTGCGTGAGGGCCTTGTCTAGTTGTGGCAAGCGGGGGCCTCTCACTATCGCGGCCTCTCATTGCGGAGCACAGGCTCCAGACGCACGGGCTCAGTAGTTGTGGCTCACGGGCCTAGTTGTTCCGCGGCATGTGGGATCCTCCCAGACCAGGGCTCGAACCCGTGTCCCCTGCATTAGCAGGCAGATTCTCAACCACTGCACCACCAGGGAAGCCCCTAATAAGTTTTTAAAGCGATTTAAGGAGAATACAATGGACTTGTCATTTAACCCTAATGGTTTAGAGCAGGAGTTGGCAAAGTTTCCAGAAGGGAAAGATAGTAAATACTTTAACTGTTTCAGCCTTCATAATAACGCATCTCAACTTTTCAGCTCTGCCTTGTAGCTAGAAATCAGCTGTGGGCAGTACTTCAAGGGCTGGGCATGGCTGTGTTCAGCAAACCCTTATTTACAAAATGGGCCACCATGGCCTGTGGGCCTTGGTATGCTAACCCCTGCCTTGGAGACATTCTTGGGATGGAGTAGAATATCTCTAAACCCTCCAAAAAAATGCTGAGTGGGGCGTCCTCCAGTCTGTTTGCTTCACTATGGTGACTTCTGAACTCCGTGCAGGGCACCTCCGGCCCTCCACCATCCGGGTGAAGCCAGTTCTTCTGAAAAGGAATAAAGGTGCGGCTCCCCTGCTGTTTGGAGAAGGTGTGTTGTTTCTGCAGTGATGACATTGGTCAAACAAGCCAATCCGATTTGATTGCTCCCATCTATTTGCCTATATGATTTAAAACCTCTGTGTGAAAATGAGGAAATGAAAAAATTATTTAACTAGGAGGTTCAAGGGGCTCATGCATTTGGCCAGTTGCCCATTTTCTTATGCTTTTTCTTTTTCTGAAAAAAGTAATTAGAGGTCTCTGTTTGCTTATAAAAATTTTTGTCTTACAAGCAAACAGTAATTTTAACCAGTAGATTGAATTTTTAAAATTAAGCCAGTAGAAAGAATCTGCAGGGTTTTTTTTTTTTTTTATGACTCTTTCAACTTACCAAGAAACTTTTAGTGCAGACACACACCACTTTCTTTCATTCCAGGGAAACCTGGAATTTCAGAGTTCGGCTGATTTAGGTTAATCTTTTTCAGTATGTCAGGTGACTGTAATCAAATATGAGACAAAACACATTCTGAAGCCTAAATTATAACTATTAATCTGTCTGACACAGTCTGTCTCCCACCCACTTCCATCACCCTGCAGTCTACATAAATTCTAAGGTGGAGGAGAGGAAGGCGTTTGAAATGTGTGACAGCTGTAAACTCTGGCTCTGAGTTCCCGCCCTCAGTCTTCCTCAGGCTTTGGCATTTACCACCTGTGTTTGTCCCTTTGTCTTCAGCAGCAGGGTTCCTGCAGTCCTGGAAGTCCGTGGTGAGGCATGTTGCAGGCCCTCCCTTCCTCTTGGCACAGCTGTGGTCATCTTACCTGGGCAGCCCTGTGTCCATTGGGAAGTCCAGGACTCTCCTAACCATCCCTCTGGGTGGCTGCACACCGTCCGGCTGGCCAAGTGCTGGGTCACAGTGACGGGCTTCTGAGACTGTACTCAACTTCCTGGCATCTCTCTTTTGCATAATGTGGTCCTGGTCTGGGATGTCTACTGCTGCAGCGGTATCCGGAGTCAGTCCCAGGAGATGACAGTTACTGCTGCTTCAGTTTACAGCAGAGTCAAGGGAAGAATGCAGGTGGCTGGTTCCTATAAAGTAGAACGATTGAGGAAGGAAAGCATTCATCACCATTTTCTTATAAAACAAGAAAAAGACCAGATCTGGAAATGATTTGTTATTCATCTTTCCATCTCTAATAATGATAGTCAGCATTTATCGAGCAATTGACACTATGTACCAGTTGTGGTTCTAAGCACTTCTCATATCTTTACTCATCTGTTACTCACTTGAACCCTCTGCGGAAGACGGTGAGGCACAGATGGGTCCTGTGACTCCGAAAGGGTGGAACCAGGATCCGACTCTGGCCATCAGGTTCCAGAGTTTGTTCTCTTAACACTGCCCTGAGCTTCCTGGTGCTAGCACAGCACCTGTCCCCTAGTAGTTGCTCATTAAATTTTTTTACTGACTGGCTAAAGGAAGGAGAATATTAAATGATCATTTGTACACGTCCTTGGAGTGAGAGTTGAGTTATATTGTTTTCAGAGCTAAAGTATACCCACCCTGACTTACTTCTGCAGGAATAACAAAAGGTCGAGTGTCCCATCTAAAAGTTTATTTTTAGGGAATTAAGCATATGACAAAGATGGCCTTTCAAAGAACTAAGTAAAAATAGTTTATTCCATAAAGGATGCCCAAGGAACTGGCCAGCCATTACAAAAAATAAAAAAGAGTTGTTTTCTTTGTATTTCCTTACTCCTTACGTCAAAAAGGAATTCCAAGTGGATGAAACATTTACATATAAATATGAAAACATAGATATGTTGAGAGGAGATATGGGTAAATGTATATATAAACTTAGAGTAGGAAATGTCTTTCTAATCATAAGCAAAATCTAGAAGCAATAAAAGAAAAGAGTGATAAGATTAGGTTATTTTAAAAACACCACCAACAACCAAAAATTATAGGCAAAAAATTTTACAGAGAAAGGAGGAGTGGGCCCAGTTGTTTGTAATTTAAGAAGCGTCCCAGGCGATTCTGATGCTCTCTGAGGGTTAAGAGCAGCTGGAATAGAAGGATACAGCCAGTGGAGTGGGAAGAGGAGGACTTTTAATTTTACACTTCGTGTGATTTTTCTCCCCAATTGTATTTGTCTTCTTATATTTTAAAAAGTTAATGAGTAAAAAAAAAAAAAAATTTGTGATCAAAATCAAACAGGATGAGGCAGTAGAGACATTTTTAGCAGATCTATAAAATTTCCTAGAACTTTAGTATTTCTGAGCATTAGTCTCTGTTAGTATGTACAATGTTTGCTGATATCAACTGTCAGTTGAATTTAAAACTTTTTTCCCTCTTTTGTCCCGAGAGACCAGAAGCTGGTGAAGAAGCCATCAGCCAGTGGAGGCTGGACTCAGCCCTCAATTCATGGGAATTCTGGGGGTGCTTTGTTTTAGGTGATTCAACTAGATTGCTCATTCAGAGAGAGGGAGGATGTCTCCCAGGGACACACTTAGCTACAGGTACCATGGGGGAGAGCCAGCTTTGTCAGCTCTTCTGTGTTCTCACCTGCAGGAACTTCACCTCAAAGCTGAGTCCCTGGTAGTCTCCCTTCCCCCTCCTCCCTCACCTCCTTTTCCTCTTCCTCCATTGCTGGCCACACCTGGCATAAAAGCATATCTGTTCTGACACAGTCTGACTCCCACCCACTTCCATCACCCTGCAGTCTACAGGGTGTGCTGTGTGTGCTGCCCTCCCTCTGATAAGGACCTTTGATCTGGCTCAGTGAAAGCCGTTTGGAAAAGTCAGTTTCCCTTGTCCTTGCTGACCAGGGCCAGGATCCAGCCAGACCTGGCTTGGGGTTGAAGCCCGTGAGTGAAACATAGCTCCTTTCTTCTCAGCTGTATTTGTATTCCTTTTAAGAAGCTCCATGCTCCCTGCAGCCCTTGAAGTCTTCTCCTAACTCGGCTGTGCTGCACAGATACGGCTTCAAAGGGAGAGAGAACAGTGTTCAAAGGAAGCAGAGCATAAATGCCTGTTCCTGCTGCAGGCAGGGCACCTCCGGTCCTGGCTTCACACACCTCTAGAAGGCTTTCCGGCTTTGCTCAGGAAACACTTTAACTGGGTATCTTTGGCAATTCTGTCACAGGGTAAAAAACCCTCCCTGGTTAGGAATCAGATCAAAAAGGCTTTGGGGAATAATGAGAAATGGAGTCTTTCTAGTGTGATGTAGAAGCACTATTATTTGCTATTGCTGTTTAAAGAGATGATGATTTCTCAGATTGTACTGGGAGGTAGGAACTATAATTATAGACAAGAAAACGGAAGTGTAAGAGAAATTGTTACCTGCCCGAGGTGTTGAGCCCGTGTGTGATGGGTTTCTAGGACGGTGCTTGCTCCCACAAGCCTGTGCCAGGGGTCTGGCCGCACTGCCCAGGGCACACACCACTGGCTCTGGGTGGGCTACTTACACGGTCTTCTCCACCGACAGCTTTGCATTTCAAGGAGAAGAGGCCGCCAGCCCGTGTTTCGGGGCAGGACACCTTCGTGTTGGTTGTGGTGACGCATGTGGCGTGCCTGGGGCATGGTAATACTGGTACTGAGGCCTGTGTGTTTGCTTTTATTTGGCAGATTCTCAGCCTGGTCTGTGAGATGATGGGATTGGGAAACGGGCGTCGGAGCATGAAGTCGCCGCCCCTCGTGCTGGCTGCCCTGGTGGCCTGTATCATTGTCCTGGGCTTCAACTACTGGATTGCGAGCTCCCGGAGCGTGGATCTCCAGGTGTTCTGTTTGTGTGGATGTCACAGAGTATTTAAAGCTGCTGGGCGGTGGGGTCCAAGGGGTTTGCTGTTTATCACCACCTAAGGTGTTGCATGCTGTAATGCTCGCTGCGGGGCTCTGCATGTCCCCCCACCCAGCCCCCGGCCTGACGGCACGCCAGCTCTGCTCTTGGGTGGGAGAGGGCCCCCTTGTGACTTCTTAGGATTGCTGCCGGGACATGCCTCTGCTTTTCCTGTGAGTTAACAATTTTCAGTCAAGCCTTTTGGGCTGGTTCTGGGAAGACAACTTACGTTAAGTACCCTGCCCACAGCCCGTTCTGGTCCTCCAGTCCACAGTCAGAATCTAAGAGTGGTGTTGGTAATGCACGTGGAGAACGGGCCTGAGAAATATGTTTTTAGAGGTACCAATCTTTATCAGCATCATTTACTGATAATAATAACTTTATCTTTCCCATTCATTGCTGCCCGTCGTGGGTCAGGCAGTGCTGAGCAGTGACAGAGACTCTCGTTGACCGCAGTTTAGTCAGCCTCTGAGGAGCCCCCTTCGTGACTAGGCCTCTATCTTGGTCCCCCATCCTGTTTTTGGCCTGCCCAGCGCAGGCTTAGCAAAGAATCCCTTTAACTCATCCCTCCACCCCTGATACCTGAGCAAGGTCCTCATCCCTTATCTTTGATGTCTAGCCCTGGGCCTGCCTTTAGCAAGACTCCTGTTAGGCCAGTTTAGCAAGAATCTCCCCACCCTCTTAGTGCTTTTCCACCCACTGACCCCCTCACTCTGCTCGTTGGCTATAAATCCTCTGCTGTCCTTGCTGTGCTCAGAGTCGAGAACAGTTTCTCTCCCGACTGCAATAGTCATGACCCCTGTTGCAGTAGCCTTGAGTAAGGTTTTCCTTATCATTTTAGCAAGCGTCAGAATAATTTTTCTTTGAGGATATATTGCATACATTGCCTTCTTTTGTACACAGACTCTCTCGGGTTGGGATTTTATGTTCCCCATTTCACAGGTGGGCAAACTAAGGCTCGGAGAGGTTAAGGACGAGGGGAGCTGGGATGCCAACCCAGTCTTTCTGATGGCAGAGCTTGAGTTCTTAGCTGTGGAAATCCATCCCATAGGGGTGTTTTGTCCTCCTCTCATGCTTACCTCCCCACGGTTGCAGTGCTTTTGTCTGAGCTTCCGCTGGACCCCTGTTCTCTGGGCAGTTGGGGTCTTGGTGTGCAGAGAACTGAATCTGTTTTCAGAGATTGTGTCTTATAAAGAGTGCTTAAATGCTCTGTTAGCGAGGAAAAGGAACTAAATATTTCAGCACCAGCTCACGCCAGGTAAAGCATAAGCCATTTTACGTACAGGAAGACCTTGGCAATATCCCGAATTCAGTTCCAGACTGCCACGATAAAGCCAATAGCACAATAAAACAAGTCATGTGAGTTTTTGTTTTCCCAGTGCATAGCGAGTTATATTTACACTATATGGTAGTCTGTTAAGTGTTCAATAGTGTTATGTCTAAAAAGTACATACTTAATTTAAAAATACTGCTGGGATTTCCCTGGCAGTCCAGTGGTTAAGACTTCTCGCTTCCAATGCATGGGGTGTGGGTTCGATCCCTGGTTGGGGAACTAAGATCCCACATGCTTCGAGGCACGGCTAAAAAATAAAAATACTTTACTGCTAAAAAATGGTAACCATCATCTGAGCCTTCAGGGAGTCATAGTAGTAACTTCAGTGATCATGATTGCAGATCATCATAACAAATACAATGTCCTTGCAGACGCGCATCGTGGAGCTGGAAGGCAGGGTCCGCAGGGCGGCAGCAGAGCGAGGGGCCGTGGAGATGAAAAAGAACGAGTTCCAGGGGGAGCTGGAAAAGCAGCGGGAACAGCTGGACAAAATTCAGTCCAGCCACAACTTTCAGATGGAGAGCGTCAACAAGTTATACCAGGATGAAAAGGCAAGACCTGCTTGGTTTTCCTCTTAATTCTGTTCTAAGTACCATTTATACCCTGTCGAATTCTCCTCAGTGGGAGGATAAGCCGCTGTGTGTGTATGTGATGTAGTTACGTGGAATGAGCCTCTTGATCCAGCTTTGGATGTCTCCTCATATCGCCATTAGGCCCTGGGTGGGTTTGTTGGAAAAACTTTTGCAGTGCTGATAAATGGGAGAAATGCAAAAGAACTGTCTTAGCAGCACGTTCATCCTCCTGTTACCTTTTTTCCTTACTTTCTACAAGTATGCATTAAGTACCTGCTCTGTGCCAGGCCTGTGCCGGATGCTTGTATCTCACAGAGGCATAGCATTTGTGCCCTTGAGTATCTCACAGTGAGAGGAGATGTAGACCTCCTAATATATACTAACAAAGAAAGTAGGGGACCCAAGAGTGCTGGTTTTTAAATTTAAAAAATACCAGATCCTGCACAGATTAAAAAAGGGGCTTCCCATTAGTGAGCGTATCTAAGCTTTATGTGTCTTGCTTTTTCTGGTTTTCTTGGGACTGTGTGACCCCACTTTCCTGTTTGTTAAATTGTATAATGGTGTGAGTCACTAATATCTTCCTTTCTAAAGTGCATCAAACTCATGACTATTTATTTCCTCGCAAGATTTGACTATTTCCTACTAAAACCAAGTCCACATTCAAGATAATGGATCTCAGGATATGACCTCCTTCCAATAAATCAAGCATTTCACAGAGAGAGGCACACGGATTAGTAAGAGCCAGATCTGTGTAAAGTGCTACTAGTTACCAGATAATGAATCATTTCTAGATAGGGCCTCAGACTTTTCCTATGTAACTGGTTTAAAAGGTGAGAAGTGCTTTTTTTTTTTAATTTGCGGAGTACTTTCTCATAGTCACAAATGTGTATTTCTTCCTTGGGAATTGTTCCAGTTTTAATGCTGTTATAGGAAAGTGCTCCCTGTAACTTTATAATAAAGTGCTTCCCTATAGGAAAGGTCTCCCTTTTTCTCATGTGTGGGTGACACGATTTGTGCTCCTGAAATCCCCTTTAACTGAATAGAATGGGACCTTGCCATTTCTCACAGTGTGTACACATGCTTAACCTCCTGAAGCACGCTTTGGGAGGCTGCAGAGTTTATTCTCAAGGGATAGAGTGGGCGGAAACTCCATCTGGGATTTGCAGGACGTACCGAGAAGGTCTCTGGCACTCTGGCCCTCTGCCCAGTTAGGAAGGAGGCCTGTGATGGGACCTGGGGAGTGTTGGGTAGGGAAAGGGGACCCAGCAGAGACCAGCAGCCTTGCCCCATTGGGCCTGGGCTGGACAGGGCAAGGTGGGAAGGACCGTATGTGCTAAGGTCTGGGACCAGCCAGAGCAAGGTTTTCCCATCTGCAGGGAGGGAGGAAAAAGGAGGATGTTTTGTGTACCTGTCTGCCTGCCTCTCCACCCCTGTGTGTATGTGTGTCATTACCTGAAAATTTGACTCTTTTTTTCTGTAGGAAGAATTGTCTTTTGTTGATACTCTGATTCTCTGGCCTTCTACATTTTGTTTTTAACTTTTTTTTTTTTTTGAAATGGTAGTGATAGAAGATAGAAGGGCTGTTCGTGTCTGCATGTGGTGTTTGGTTATTGCTTTTAACTGTCCTTGTTTTCTTAACCTCATCAGTCTCCCAAATGCCTCTGAAATTTTACTGGCTCGTGAAATCCAAAATTCTGGGAATGACTAATCTGTCTTTTCATACTCCTCCATGCTTCTGGATATTTTTGTGCATTGCACAAAGTGTGGGTGCCTGTTTGGGGTGGGGAGAAGCAAGAGCGACTGCAGGGTAATTTCTGCTCATGGGACCTTCTGCCTTGGCCTTGGTACGCCGAGGGGCTCCAGAGTCCTGTAAAACAGGTTGCAGGCAGCCGGGCTTCCCGTATCGTATGGGCGGAGTCCTCAGAGACTGTGCTGCCCAGAGCCATTTGTTCTAGCGAATTCATAGTAACACAGTCAATGAAGCTTCATCACCACAGGCAAGCCCTAGATACAGAAATGCTGGTTTATTGAGTGTAAGCTTTGGTGGGGATAAGCCTTCAGACTTGGAATTCTTTGAAATGTGGTTGACTGACTGTTTCCTAAAAGCATCTGCCTCTATAGGAGGAAATGAGAGGGAACATCTCCCAGCCAGAAACCAGGTGACTGTTACACCTCGCTTCTGAACACTTCAGTTTTACGGCTTCTTTTTTAAAAAGGGGACATAATGCGGGATCTTAGCACTCCCGCCCCACCCCCAAGTTCAAGAACTGTTTGAGCATCCAAGGGGAGGGAGGCTATTGTAGTCACAGTAAACATCTAACAGTGGATATTGAAAGTCGAGGAGCCCCAGTATAGAAGGTAAAGTACACATTTGAGAGACAGTCAAATAGCCGCTGGGAAAGGGTGAGAGTCCTTTCATTTGGAGTTTTAAGCTTTTATAGGAGATGTGATACAAAGTTCTTTTCATTTTGGGGGTGGGGATGGGGGCTCGTTTCTTAGCTCCAGGAGGATTTTTGCCGTAGTTTGGGGTGAGGGTGAATGGCATGGGGCTTCTGGCCAGGAAGCCCTGGGTTCGAATCCTTGTTTTCCTTAACTGTATGATTTCAGGCAAGTCAGTTAAGTTCCCTGGACCTGTTTTCTCAGCCGCCAAGTGGAAATAACAACAGAATCCCTTTTGCAGGGTGGCTGCAATGATTCAGTGTAATATTTATGAAGGGTTTATCACAGTGCCTGACATGAAGCAGAAGCCCGAAACGCGGTAGCTAGTATTATTACAGCTAGTCGTCGTGGTAGTAATGGTGATAGCATAGGGGTAGAGGTAGTAGTAAACCACAGCATCTGGAGTGATAATATTATTATTATTATTATTTTTTGGTATGGACTCTTCTTTTTTCTTCTAAATTAAAACCATGAAAACAGATTGTCCTGGCTTTCAGAAGAGATGAAGGAGGTGCTGGGGTGTCTGTTGGAGCCAAGCGCGAACAGCGCAGTTGAGCCGTGCAAAGAGCACCAACAACAGCTGTCACACCAGCGACCAGAGCGCGTGTTTTGCAAATCTTTGCCGAGCCAGGGTTACGTTCAGCATTACACAGGAATTGTCTCCTGTCTTCCTCTCAGTAGCCTCATGAAGTTGGTGCTCATCGTACAGGGAGGGATCTGAGGTCCAAAGGGAGTTAGTGACTGTCACCTAGGATGTGACCTAGACCCTGGGTGGCCACCAGCGGGGCCTCCATCTCTGCCCCTGGCCTCCTTCTGCTCTGTGTAGAGCCCGATTCTCTGGGCCGCAGGGGGCCTCTCCAGAGCTCTCCATCACCTAAATCATGCAGGGGGCCTGGGTGTGGCCACAGAAGAAACCAGGTTGGCCTGAGTTGATAGTTGTTAAAGCTGGGCGATGGGATCACTTTTCTGTCTCCTTGCTTCGAAAGACTACTGTTATTCCCGCTAGCTCTCCTTTGTCCCCAATTCCAAATTCTGAGGCAAAAAATAACCTGATTGTTTCAATCTGGCTGGGAAGTCCCCAGAGAAGTTGGGCTGGTCTGTCACCCCCAGTACATGACTCTGTGTTATCTATTTTTTTTAATCTTAGGAAGTTAGCACTCGTGCTTTGAATTGGAATGAGGCTCTTTTTCAGAATTTTAAAGACCCTACTGGTGGACTAATAGTGATTCTCAGCTGTGGGAGGAGCTGGCTTGCTGGCACGTATGGGTGCAAATCTCATGTGACCTAGGGCGTTCCAACCTTGACCAGCATCCCTACCTCAGGCTGGCATTGCTACTCTGCATGGGCATAAAAGTCCCCAAGTTGGGGGCTGGGTAGAAGCTTGAAAGCCGAACCTATCAGGGACAGTGTGGTAATGAAATTTATGCCTCGTTCGGGTCAACACTGTCTAACAATTCCCTGTGACGGTGGAAATGTTCCCTTTTTTTGCTCTGTGGTACGGTAGCAGCTGGCCCCATGTAGCTGTTGAATACCTAAAATGTGGCTAGTGGGACTAAGGAACTGAATTTTATTTAATTTTAACTAATTTAAAATTAGATAGCCACATATCGGACAGCACAGGTTTGGACAGTAGAGACAGACCAAAAGTAAAACTAAACAAATGGGGCTGTCTCAAACTAAAAAAGCTTTTGCACAGCAAAGGAAATTATCAACAAGACCAAAGGCTGCCAGATGAATGGGAAAAGATATTTGCAAACTATGTATCTGATAGGTGTTAGTATCTAAAATAAGCAGAGAGCTCATACAACTCAACATCAGAAAAACAAAGAACCCGAGTAAAAAATGGGCAGAGGACCTGAATAGACTTTTTTTTTCAAGGAAGACATACAGATGGCCAACAGGCACATGAAAAGGTGCTCAACATCACTAATCATCAGGGAAATGGAAATCAAAATCACAGTGAAATATCACCTCACACCTGTCAAAATGGCTATTATCAATAAGACAACAAATAACACGTGTTGGCAAGGAGGCGGAGAAAAGGGAACCCTCTTGCACTGTTGGTGGGAATGTAAATTGGTGCAGCCACTATGGAGAACAGTATGGAGGTTCCTCAAAAAAATTAAAAATAGAACTACCATATGATCCAGCAGTTCCACTGCTGGGTGTTTATCCTAAGAAAACAAAAACACTGATTTGAAAAGATATATGCACCCCTGTGTTCATTGCAGCATTATCCACAATAGTCAAGATATGGAAGCAACCTAAGTGCCCATCAGTAGATGAATGGATAATGAAGATGTGACGTATACATACAGTGGAATACTATTTGGCCGTAAAAAAGAATGAAGTCGGGCTTCCCTGGTGGCGCAGTGGTTGAGAGTCCGCCTGCCGATGCAGGGCACACAGGTTCGTGCCCTGGTCCGGGAAGATCCCACATGCCGCGGAGCGGCTGGGCCCGTGAGCCATGGCCGCTGAGCCTGCGCATCCGGAGCCTGTGCTCTGCAACGGGAGAGGCCACAACAGTGAGAGGCCCGCGT